AGCCCTTCTAAGTTCTGCTTTTCTTTCATCCAGTGTTTAATGCACTACATCCAATATTTAATACAAACACATAGTGTCTGACTGTTGTAATTTTGCATAAGCAAATGCTTAGTTTCCCACTAAAAATGATCATTGTCCTCTCTGTGCCTTAATTTTGTCATAGGTAAAATGAAGAATCCAGGAAGAAGTTCTCTCTACAGGGCAGTCCCACGTTTCTAGGGCAATGGAAGACTAAACTATGAAAAGGTAATACATGACTTAAATGAGTATTCGCCAAGGAATTTATAGTAAATATTGTTTAAAGACATAAACATTTGCATAAAAATTACTTTTGCCAGGCACAGTGGCATAAGCCTGCAATCCCCCAGCCACTTGGGAGGCAGCAGCAAAATAATCATTGGAACCCAGGAGTTTGAGGCTGCAATACACTATAATCTTGCCTGTGAATAGCCTGCTGCACTCAAGCCTGGCAACATAGCAAAGCTCTATCTCTAAAATATAAAATAAAATAAAATAAAATAAAATAAAACAAAATAAAATAATATCTACACATATAAAAATTTGAAAACTACCTTTGATGGTGTTGGTGATTTTTGTTTAAAATAATGTCATTTTTATGAATATGCACAAGTCAGGAGATATGGAGAAATGTGTTGTGTGCACCATCCTTTGTGGTACTGGAAAATAATATATTAAGCTCTTGATCTAAGTAAAATATAAGAGCTTATTGGAAATAAGTCACATGCATGCTTATCTACTTTTTAGGCCATGATATGAGATCATGAAGTTGATCATGAAATTGATCTCATATCAAAGTGATTTCCTTACTATTTGTGATTCTTAGAAATAGCACTGATATTTATCTAGATCGTTATAATCTTGAATACCTTAAAAGTTACATTGAGTGTTTTCTCAGAGCATGCACATTCAACAGTTTTCAGCTCAAACAATTTAGACCATTATAATAACTGAAATCTAAGCAATTGACAGAGAAATCAAATGATCCGCCCAACGGATTCATTGAGATATGTGAAATATCCAAATGTGACAATTAGCTGGATAAATCCATTCCTTGCTTCTTCATACAAAATCGTAATTAAAAAGCAATAATGCTGTTTTGAACCAACCCCCTTTTAATATCTGTATAAGTCCTGTATTAAACTATCAAGCATTAAATATATTAGTCAAAAATAACATTTGATTAATAATACCTTTAAGTTGTGATGTAGTATAGTACAAATGTTAATGTAATTTTTTTATTTGACTGGATTACCTTATGTATATAGCACAATTTGAACATTATGAAATCTGACCCAAGATTTCTTACTCTCATGTTATTTCCATTTCTTGTAAATCCTACCCCTCCATTTCCAGCAATAAGAGGTTATTTGCCAAACTAGCAGATTTCCATTACAGATGTAAAGTTGTCTACTTATATTATAGGGGAAGTAATTAAGTATTTTGTTTTCTTTAGTATATTTTGTGAGACTTTAAGAGGCCATGAAAACCCACCCACAATTCTGGCAAGCTACTTTTAGCAAAGAAAGAAGCATGAAGCAGTAAGTAGAAATGACTAACAAGCTGTATTTTTAAATTATCTGTAGCTGAGAGTAAGCCTACGAAATGCATTCTCTTCAGGATCTTGACATGCATTGATAATTTTGGTCGTGCCTTAAATAGGGGTTATCTGCACAGGTCACATAATCCATTTACTAGTCTATCTGATTTGTTGTTAGCGTGCTCTTTAATGTCATCAGTGTTTATGCTGAAAGTGCTGTCACTGAAGTGCTTTGTTCATGTTAATTGATAAAAACGAAATACTTCCCACCATCCTAGCTTTTTTTGAAAAACAACATACTGACATGACAAATTAATTTAACTTTAAATAATATGTTGGCTACATATTAAATATTTTAACACATAGTTTAAGCATGTGGTGCTTTATTTGCTACACTGCTAACACTAAATCTAATATGGGACTAAGGTGAATATTATGAAAATAAAGTACGATATGTCACAAATATTTAAATGAGTTGTAAAGAGAAAATAGAGTTAGGTATCTCATCTGAATTATAATAAAAATAATAGGAAAGCTGTAACAGCTTTATGATGATTTTTCCTCTTAACAAATAGCTGAGAGATTTGAAAAAATGGTGTATGGGATGACAGCGCTGCCTTTGAAGCATATAATTTTATAATAAAAATGTTTTAAATTAAGGAAATGCCTAGGATAGAATATGATGATAATTGTGATTATTTTATAGAGAAAAACTACATAAAAGTAATGTTTATTTTCAAAGGAAGCAAAAATGTTTCAAATAAAGCAAAAAGGTTATATGTGCATTTACAGTAATTTATATTAAATTTTAAATTAATTACCTTAACATTAACACAAATAGCTTTTAGATTGTTGGAATGTGTAATTTATATATATATATATTAAATAGATTACAAAGGTAAGGAAATAACTGCATTAAAAAAACATGGTTTGGGCATTAAGTTTAAAAAATTCTTATTCTAACGTCAAAATGTGTTTCGAAAGCTCCTCACTATCCACAGCCTGGACATATATCAAGCTTTTCTTTTTATGATTAAAGTGATTGATACATTAAAAAATACTTCTTATTTATTGTATTATTCAGTATATTGCAAACCACTGCAAACATAAAGAGAAAAAGGAAAGAGTGTTGTGAAAAGGACAGAAGGTTGTATATAGTGAGCTCCATTAAAAACCTACATTTAAATCTTAAAAATGTTTGTACCAAAGGAAAAAAAAATGGTGATGCCTTCTCATTTCTCATGAAAGCCTTACATGGTTTTCATTTGCCTTGTTTCATCCTTCACTTGGACAGTAACCTCTTAACTGTTTTCTTTCATGCTTTTTTTTTATCTCTTGTCTCCACTCCAGCACACATTCTCTCTCTCTCTCTATCTCTTCCTGTGGATTCCGCAGTAAAAGCTACCCCAGTTGTCTCATTTTTATAAGACTTGCAGACGTCTGCCAGTGGCTGATAGGAAATGCTGATTGAGAAAGGGTTTATCTACTTTTCATCCAAAATATGTGAACCATTAAGGAAATTATAAAAAGCAGCAACAATATACTCTAGTTTTATTCAGTCCTCTCCCTTAGTGATTATTAAAAGGGTGATATATTTATCCAAAGAAAGCAAAATGCATCTGCAGCAGCTGGTTTCCAAGGAAACAGAATAATTTAAAACCATGTGGAACTCTGCTCTCTAATTTTCATCAATTCCCCTTCATTCCTGGAGGTAGCTTTACTCAGAATTTATAATTTCTAAAAAATATAGCTGCATTGATTTATTTCCTCTAAAACATTTCAGGAGATGAATATCTGGTTTTATATATCACCTTGCATTTCAATCTTGGGGTGAGGGGTGGATTAATTTCAACCATTGTTTTGCTTAAAAAAAATCAGAAAGATCCATCAATAATTAGAAACATGCTGAAATTTCAGTATTATGTAATAATTTTTGAAATCCAGAAATAGTTCAAAATAAACCATACCGGAATACTTACTTGGTTCATTATGACACTTATCCATATAAACATGTTATTAACTATATTTAGTACATTTAGGAAATTTAAGGTAATTCTCCACTCATTTAGATAATTCATACCTAATATTCAGCAATTTTCTTACTCTTATTTTAATTTTACAAGAACTATTATATTTGTGTCTGTTTATTCAAAGACAAAATCTGTCTCAAACAAAAAAAGTGCAATAAATAAAAAAAATTGAAAAACAATTAACAAGAAAAACAATAGCAAAAAAATACTTAGAAATTATATAGTCATTCCTATTAGTTTTGATTCATTGAAAAAGGTATTAAAATGTGTATGAACAAATTATTTACCTCATTGAAAGACTTTTATTATTATAATCAACAGGTATTAATTGATTGCCAGTGTACTCAAGTTAGTAATAATTCTTGAAAGCTCAATTTTAATGAGATTCTACCACCGTTAAATGATCTATATTTATGAATTAAAGTAACTATAGAATTAAGTGACTGGGTGTTCAATTTTTTTGTATGTTTTTACTACAAGTGTGTTATTTATTGTACATACTTAGAACTTGTCCTTATTTTCCCTAAGGGAATATAAAGGACCATATTAGGAGATATAAGCAACTAGTAAAGTTGTTAAAAAAATATTGCCTAGAGATATTATCAACAATATAAATGCTCTGATGGAATTCTCATCTAGATGTGTTTGATAAATTAAACTACCAATGAAACATGCCCGTTAAGATGCTATTTTTTACAGCAATGTTTAATCCTTCAAAATTAGGTTTCTGTGCTTTAAAATAAAAATGGCTCCATGTAAGTTAACAAAGAGACAAATCATTAATTATCACGTAAGCTTAAAGTTTACTGAATAAAATAATGCAACTATTGAACAACATGAGATTTATCAAGAGGAGTAAGTTAAATAAAAGGGCTTAAATGCACACAAATCATTCATTCTAAATTAGTGCTCAAAGACTCTATAACCTGCAAAAATAGTTTTCCTAAGCCTTTTACCGTATTGTCAACACTAAAAGTCACCACATGAAATTTTATATTGTATATTCACAGAAGGCTCCATTTTCTCAGGACCTGTGGAATTTACCGAGGTTTTCTCATCCTTCCTGCGATTCCTAGTAACATAAGCTTGAATTAAACATTTTTAAAGAGACACATGATGATTCATTTTATCTATTAATTTTGCTTCAATGACACTTGCATAGAAAGTTATTTAGGGTAAGACATGCCTCTGGTGATTGTTTTGTTTTGTTTTTAATCAGCTAAGGGTTTTGCAGAGAGAAAGAACAGCAAGCTTATTGCAAAGCTTCCTCAAGTAATAAAAGGGCACGCTTTCGGAAAATGTCCTCAGAATAATTTTCCTATCATAAAATTGTTTCAGTAAAAATTGAGAAGCATTCTCCTTTAAAGAAAAAAAGAATTTTCTTTTCTTTTTTTTTTATTTTTTGCTCTTACCTGTAAATATGGTTTCTGTACTTCGGCTCCGTCGGAACACACTGAAGAGAGTACACTCCTCCCTCGTCTATCCATCAGGCGGCAGCCAACCAATAACAAAAGCCAGATCCTGGCATTCTCTAGCTCATGCTCCCTGCTTTGCTTCCATTCCTTGTTCCCTCCCACCTCCACTCTTTTAGAGGACGAATCCCTGCAGCTGGGAGAGAGGAAGGGAGTGGAGAAAAGAAATATGGAGAGAAAAGCAGAGATGCAAGATGTTTCAAAAAATAGCTCCAAACTGTGGGAAATGTCTGCAGATGACCTCAGCTGAAGTAAAAAATCTTGCTTTGGATTTAGAAAAATAGACTTAATCAATGCTTCACCTACCCGAAATCAAAGCAAAATGCTCATAGTAAAACCTAGGGAAATTGCCTGTTTTTCAGTTCCCACTGATTTTTCTCAATGAAAAAAATGTACCTCCTCCATTATACATTTTGATATGCAAATAAAGGAGGGAGACTGAACATCAAGATGACATTATGCATATTCAGTTTGCAAAGAGATAAAATTAAAATGAATCAACACCCTTTACTTTTATGTTTTGTGTTATTTGCACTACGACCTCTGTTTGACAATGTTTTCCTTCAAACCCAGTTTCGAGGCCTAATCAGTATGAAAAATATTTCATTCTGAGCATTAGAATATTCAAATATTTCAAAGTTACGTGGTTTATATTACTTCAGATTCCTTAAATGCCATCAATTTGTGAATAATAGAACTTGTTAAAGATTAAAAAGAGATCAGTCACTTGGTTGCCGTGCCTCAAAGTGACCAGCTGAACTCCAATTTTATTCTAATAAACTTGAACAAAAATAATTTCACTTCTGAACCTAGAGGCATAGCATGCATTAAAGGACAATTGAAGAAAACACCAAATTAGGATTTTTTAAAGGCAATAAAGCAAATTCATCTGCAGTTTCAAACAGGTTAATTTTTAAAATACTGCAATACAAGCCATAAATTTTTATCTTTATGATAAAAATTCTCTCAACTGAGCTTTCTCTGGTGGAGGTGGTCTGAAAAATTTCCTTAGGAAGACATAAACAGTCGATATCACCACTATAGAGGTATGTACTGTCTACCTGAGATATTTATAAGCCTTGCTCTTCAATTTCTTAAATCAGTAATGTGTCCTCATGGGAATAAGGTCAAAGGGAGTAAAATAAGAGGGGAGGGCAAGCAAGTATTCTTTAAGAGTTACTGGCATGATGGTAAATCATTTGTCCAGGAATAACTGTACAGGAAGGGCTTAGGGGTGTCAATATTGTTAGGAGGGGAATGCTGGTGACTTAACCTGACACTAACTTTAGATAGAAATGCACTGATTTTACTTAGTTTGCACTGTTATTTGGAGTAGCTTTGGGAGGCTCTGCTAAAGATTATGCGGAAGATTAAACTATCTCTTATTCCCACCCCCAAGTCCTCTATTGTGAAAAATACTTTCAAAGCCTTTGTGTTCCTATTGCTAGGCATAACTGGAGGAATCCCTAGGACAGACAGCATTTTTAGAAGTGGTTGTTCAGGGCTTTCTACATCAGAATCACTGGGGGAAGACTTATAAAAAATGCAGGTTCATGGGCCTCCTCCGGATTTAATGAATAAGCATTTGAGGAGTTTCTGACTCAGCATTTTTAGCAAGCTCTCCCAGGTGATTTCTATGTCAAATATGATTGTAGACAGAGACTTGTAGGCAAGTGTTTGCTGGGCACAAATTCTAACCAGAATTCTTCTGTTTAGATGATGGTGCCATTATCTCAGATAGCAAAAAAAAAAAAAAAAAAAAAAGAGAGAGAGAGAGAGAGAGAGATTTGGGAGCAAAATAACAAAATTAGTTTGGACATTTTGAACTTTTTGGATATCCAGATTAAAATATTAAATAGTCAGTTAAACTCATAAATAAGGCTGGGGTGCAGGTTCAGTTTGGAACCCCTAGCATCTAGAGTTTGGTTAAAGTAATGAAAATAAATGAGCACCCTAAGGGTTTAATATAAAAATTTTATAAAGAACTCACACAATTTAACAGTGGAAAAACAAACCCAATACAAAATGAACAAAAGACCCGAATAGATATTTCTCCAAAGAAGACCTAAAAATGGACAACAGGTTTATGAAAATGTACTCGGCATCACCAATCCTCAGGGCGATGTAAATCAAAATTACTAAGAAATGCCACCTCATATTTATTAGGATGACTATTATCAAAATGTCTGCAGATAAATGTTGGAGAGAGTGTATAGAAAAGAGTACTCTTGTACACTGTTGGTGGGAATGTCAACTGCTACAGCATTATGAAAAACAGTATGGATGATTGTAAAAAAATTAAAAATAGAACTACCATATGATCTAGCAATCTCTCTTCTGGGCATATACTCAGAAGGAAGTGGAATCACAACTTTGTAAAGATGTCTGTATTACTGTGTTCATTGCAGCATTATTCACAATAGCCAACATATCGAAACAACTTCAGCATTCATTGATGGACAAGGGGATAAAAATGTGGTATAAATATACAATGAAATATTATTCAGTCCTAAAAAATAGATCTTGCTTTTTGCCACTATGTGGATGTGCCTGGAGGACATTATGCTATGTGATATAATCCAGACACAAAAATATTGCCTGGTCTCACTTATATGCAGAATCCTTATTTTAAGAAATCAAATATATAGAGATAGAGAACAAAACAGTGATTACCAGAGGCAGGGACTGGGGGTATGGGGAGATGTGGGTCAGGGGATACAAAGAAGTGTATATATATATATACACACACAATACATATATATGTACATATGATGAACAAGTCTAGAGATCTAATGTAGAATATGAGAACTACAGGTAATAAAATTGTATTGTGTGTTTCATGCAAAATAAGTAGATGTCAGCTACTCTTTCCACAAAAACAACAAGAAAGTATAGCTATATGAAATGATGAATATGTTAGTTTGCTTCACTATAGCAAACTTTTTACTAATTAAATGTATATAAATACTGTGTTTAAGACAATATGAGGTTATGGCATACATTGTGTTTAATTAAGACAGTATGAGGTTATGTATGCCATATTTATATATATTTATTTTTAAAAAAAGGAAAACATCTTTAGCAGGATTAAAAATGCAGACTAAGAGACTCCACCCCATACCTACAGAACCAGAATCTTTGGAATGAAGCTTAGGGAGTTCCATTTTGATAGCATTTTTCAGCTGACTTCCTTTGTACACTAAAGCTTGAGAATCATCCCTCTAGGAAGAGGAGAAGTAAGTTGAGAATGAAACTCAGGGAATTTACTTACCTTTAAAGAACAAGCAGAAAGTAGAATGAAGAAAAGATGCTTAGGAGGAACAGTTAGCGAGGAGGGGAGCCAGGAGAGAATGGTGTAGCAAAACCCAAAGGAGTAGAGAATTTCAGGAAGGTGAACTATCAAAGGCTATGGTGAGGGCTAATGCCTTGCTTTTCAAAGTGCAGTCCACTGATTCCAGCTTAGACATCCCATGGGAGCTGGTTCTAATGCAGAATCTCAGGCCCCACCCCAGTAAACTGAATCACAATCTGCATTGTAACAAGATCCGCAAGCACACTCAAATTTTAGAAGCATTGTTGTCACCCATGAAATTTGCAATTTGGTTCTTGATGAATTGACAGTGAACAGTTTCAGTGAAGTGTTTGGGGTAAGGCAGGATGACTGTGGTGGTTGGAAAAATGGATGGAAGATAAAGAAATGGAGACAGGTACACTACTTTATATATATCCAGAACAAGGGTCTTCTAGCAAACACACTCATTACCAGACCATCTTTTCAATTCAGATAAACAGAATAGGAGCAGAGGCAGAAAGTGAGCCTTGCTTACTGCTGCAGGTCTCTACCTTACACCGTTCATCTGACAGGCATGATATGATGCGAATATCACAGGCTGATATTGACAGAGGGAGATGCTTTCCTAAGGAGCAGTGACAGTCGGGCCCTCGATGGCCACGGGAGCTCAGTTGCATGTTGCCTTGCTTGCCTGAAGCAAAGGTAATAGACCATCTGAGAGTGTGTCTGAGTGACTTTAAAAATCTTTCATAACAAGAGAAATATTACAAAATTTCTAAAGGTTAAAATACCCTAAATTAAATAATAAAATATTCTTAAAAAGCTGAAAATAGAAATAAGCCTAAAGAGTAAAATAATGGCCAACTTTTAAGAAAGTCCAAAATTAGAGCAGGTTGTAATAGGAAGGGGTTTCAATATCTTATGTATTAATAAAGTGAAGTTTCTTCCACTGAACTGTAGAGGTAAGGTTTTGGGATAATATAATGACCACTAAGAAAATAGATGAGGCTTGGCACAGACCAAATGATTAAATAAAAATTTTTCATACCTAACTGTCCAAAGAGACTATCTTAATAAACTGTATTTTTGAAAGTCAGAAATTTGCCAAGTGAGTGGAATTGAAAAGATCTTAAGGAGTAATAGTACAGATGCATCAAAAATTGTGTAACTCAGAATCAAGAAGACTCTTGCAAGAGACCAAAGTAATAAAAGTTAAGACCTTCAAATATGTTAAAAAAATAAGCTGAAGGATCAGTGGAACTATTTAATATTTCCAGTCTCATAACATATCAAGGGATATAAACAAAATAGAGAAAAATCATTTTTTATTCCAGTCTTCTTTGAGGAAGTCATTAACTGATTCCTACATTGGTTTTTGAAATTGAAATTCAAAAGTATCAAATCCAAACATGATAAAGAGCACTAAGACTACTCTTGATCTAATCAATACAGAGGAGTAAGTAGGTCAACAAATCTTGTTGGCAACCATCCAAATGTTTGTAGGAACTCAAGGATAAAATTCGGCACAAATGGCCAAAATATTTTGCATGCTGCTATAAATTCCCAGAGGTGTTGAGAGACTAATAAACCACCAGTATGGCCTATGTCCATGTGCAAAGACCATGATAATCAGACAGTAAGAGATACTCAAAGATATTTCATAAAATAACTTAAGTACTGATGCAAATTAGTAAGAATTTATTCACTAGTTGCCTATAAAAATAACAATGCACTTCCAAAGT